AGTGTCAAGTCAAGTCCCAAGTCCTTACGTTTCTGTTTCGAGTCCTTTTAAACAAAATAATAATATATTTACACAGATCACCTTGGGTTTTGGAGAAAGTATCAAGTCTTGTCGAGTCAAAGGGCTCGAGTCCAAGTGAAGTCACGAGTCATTGACGTTAAAGTCCATGTCGAGTTCCAAGTCTCTTTACATTTGGTCGAGTCGAGTCTAAAGTCATCCAATTGATGACTCGAGTCCAAGTCATGTGACTCGAGTCCACAGGTTTTTCACACTTGTCAATTTGTCCATGTCACCAGGAGCCACCACAGCAGTAGTCTGCGTTGGGCTCAGGAGTTCAGGCACAGGGATCCCTCTGTATACTACATTTACTTTAGCAATTTTCAGGTACAGATCTTTCGCTATAGTCCTGTCCTTGTCCTCAACCTTACAACACGCTAACTGCCGTATTCATCGGACTTTCAAGTTTCTGATGGTACCTGAACGCAACTCATGTGACACTGTGGCAACTTCAGCATAACGTCATAATCTGTGTAGCGCAAAGCTAGCTAGCTAGCACAAAATGGACAGGTTTTTCAACAAGAAATAGACTGAAGGAGCAGACCAGCGATAACAATCATTGAAAAATGAATACAAGTATAAAAATACATTGCGATGTTCGTCAGTTAATTAATAAAGCTAATGTTTCTTTACATTGCTATTTCTGGCTTATGCTATTTGGGAGGCCTTGGCATAGGAACGTTTAAGAACCCCCATTTTATATGAACCTACATCTTTAGGAGTTTGAAATTTTAATGGGTTGGTTTGGAGTGTTTTACAAATATTATTTGTGTTTTTTTTTTTTTTTGGTATGTAGAAGGACACTTATTTTTACTTCCCTAGACACATTTTTGTCAAGGTTTTGACAAATATTTAGCAATTCATCCTTGGAATGCTTTCACCTAATACATCCTGGAAATACATCCACTGCTTGATATTTCTACTAGATGTTTATGGCAGTATCTTATATGTAGATTTGAAAAGTGTGTGTGTGTGTGTGTGATCATGATAGAGTGGTGCCCAGGTACTGAGGGCTACGTCCTGAGCAGCAGGAGAAACATTGCCCTGCGCCATGACTCCTCCCAAACGAAATGCCAAGTTCTTTACTCCAAAGCTCCTACATACTACTGTGGCCAGACACTGACTTTCAAGTACGTACATGAATTTTAGGCACAAGTTACCAGAGTGCTCTTTCTCTTTAAAAAAAAAAAAAACAATGTGTCTGTCTGGCGATTACAGGATCTCTGCAGCAGGTCAAATGGACCGAAAGGACAGCCTGGGTGTGTGCGTGGACAATAAGAAAGGGGAGGAGTCACTTCAACGAGACCAGGCTGTCTGCGTTTCTTCCAATGGTACGCGTAGTTTAAGGCCTGACCCTGTTGGTCTGGATCGTGAAACTTGTCTTACAATTCCCACAGGTTTCGTCTAAATCGTAAAGGTTCGTTTGCAGGTTTTGTTTTAAGACGTTTTACCTCTCATCCGAGAGGCTTTTTTTTAGTTCTGAACAAACTGGGAAGTTCTGGTATTTTAGCCCTAAAGAGGCCGAATAAAAAAAAACAAAACAAGGTTTGTTGCAGAAAAACAATACACAAATGGGGAGGATTTGAGGTGTGGTGCACCACACTCATTATCAGTTACTCGATACAGGAAGCAGGTTGTGACCTGGTGTGAAAGAACTCCTCCAAAATGATAGAAAGAAAGAATTCTTTAATTGAGAAAGTGGATTCCATTCAAATGTATGCATTGTTTACTCTGGCTAGACCCATAAATCCAACGAAAGTGTATTTTTTTTATTGGTCACTAAACTGTAAATGCTGAATAATACCAACTCGCTCTAGTCCTTTGTTCTCCATTTCAAGTAAAATGTAACTTGTAAGTGACATTTCTCCTTTCAGGTGCTGTTACTGTTAATGGTAAAGAGATGACCAACCACCTTCCGGCCATTACCACAGGATCATCCGTGACCTTTGACATGGAGGTGGTGAACCTGCTGCCGCAGAGCGACGGCTCTGGCCTCAAACTCAGAGTGACCATCGGTTCTGGGAACCGGGAGGTGGTGTTTGATTGGCTTGTGGACCAGGCGACAACGGACTGCCTCTTTTTCGGCTGCTCCTTTGTCCACACGGGCTGGAAGGTTCTGGTGTTTTAAGGAGTTATTGTTTTGCTTAAACGAGTGGCAGAACACGCTGCGATCAGCTGTCACGTCGGACCTGGAAATAGTCCAGCTTTTCCTCACAGTGCACATTCGCCACCGTTCCTTTTTCCTTCTCCTTCCTTGTGGTAAAGTGCTCACAAGGACAACTGTGACAACAAAACGACCCGAAGAGTACGTTTTCCTCAGGCATGATGCAATTCTGCGGCCTTTTAAAACACAGTGGAGCGTCCAATAACAGTGACTCACGTCATCTATTTCTGTCAGTAGTGCAGTGCAGTAAGACCGGATTACGGAATTGAAAGTATGAATAAGGACAAAAAGTGTTGGTACCTCTATGTAGGACAAGTTGAAGTTAATCTAATTAGTTCTATATTTGGATGTTTACTAAAATGATTGGCAATACTTCAAAGTGAATAAAAAGATAAACCAATGGTAACAAATGAGCAGCAGTAGTTAATATGTATAAACCCAGATTTTATGGTTGTCACTGAACCTATTTTGTTACGTCAGCTAATCAGCTAAGTCCCCATCTGTCTCCGGTTTCCCTTCATTACGGTTTCACTTTTCTGGCCCACCTTTAAATACTTGACTTTTCCTGGTGAAGTCTGTAGAAATGTGAAATAAAAGGCGCAGAAACCAGCCAATCAGAACACGGTTGTTAAACAGGTGTGTACAGAATCCGGCAGTGCTTAATGTTCTTCTTTTTTTTTTTTTTTTTTTTTCCTTTTACTAAAATTGTCTCTGAAACCGGACAAAAAAAAAAGGTATTTTATGTCGTTTATGTATATTTTCATATATGTTTCTCCCATTATTTTCGACACTTCAACCCTCAGATTAATGTTGGTTGATGCACGTTACCTTTATAAAATGTTCACAGTTGTAAAACATACACACGTTTTGCAACATGACACACTTAGAGTAGTCCTCCGAATTGATTTGGGAAAAAAAAACTACAAATTTAGCCCCTTTAGCGCCTGGGAATGTTCTAGGTGCTACATTAGATCCAGCATATAACCTGGATTATATTATAGTGCCAATTCTCCTACTTGCATTTAAACAGATTAAACAGATACTTACTTTTAGAAGTAAGTGATTGACTTATGTACTTTGGCCATTAGACCAATCAAGAGACATTATTTTATATGTCAAATGTATCAATTTCATTTACCCTCCCATTATTAAAATAGATTAATATTAAAATGTATTTTACTTTATTAGATTAAAATGAGCTGCAGTGCTGCCATCTAGTGACTTTTACTTTCATATACAGCCGTTTTTCCCCCAAAAAACTATTTTTTAGGGCAGACATCACTTGGTGAAACCCAGGCATGGCGTTATCAGGTTTTCATTATTGGAGGGAAAAACTGATAACGATTCTTACAGATGTTACATTATTACCTTAGCATTGGGCCGATAATATCAGGCTTCATTATAGGCACAAAGTATGGAAAAAGAGAATCTTCCGAAAGTCTTTATGCAGTTGATGATGCCGTGGACAGTTGTGATATTCAGTATTTACAAATGAGTAACTCCTGTTGGGGTATGTGATTGTATGCCATATAGCCTGTTTTCTTTTCTTCCTGTCCGTGGCACAAGGACCTGATTATTTTAATTCTCTATTTTTCTTGTTTCTCCTATATCCTGTAAATTCTTCGGACCATCTGAGGCGGTCTAGAAGGATTTGTTTTACCTGTTCTTTTTTTGTTTTAGGAAAACAATATTGTTTATCTATGCAACAAGATTGTTTCATTGGTAGCTTATTTTATTTTAAGTGGCTGAAATGGTGTGGTTTTTTTTTGTAAGAGTCTCTCCACAGTGGTGTTGTTTTTTTTTTGTAAGAGTCTCTCCACAGTTTGTATTATCTTTACCTAAAGTAAAAAGCTATCGTTTTTTTTTTTTTTTTTCAGAGTATTGTTGTGAGTAAGCACAAACTAAGAAAAGGTATGCTGTGAACAAATCTTTAAAATATCAAGGTAAGAATAAGTCTGCAATGTCTGCAGAATCTCTTTACTGCTTTATCTCATCTTGTTGCCAGCCATTTCTTAAATGGAAGTGATATTTGTAAACCACTCACTCCCCACATCAGATTCATAGAGAAATCAGCGATTTAAAACAGGGCTCCCCAACCACTGGTCCAGGGAGCAGAACAGCTACGTAGGCCATTTGGTACCGGGCTGTAGTGGGATCAAAATGAAAGTGTTTGTTTTATTTCTCAAATTGAATGATCCTTCAATGATGGTGCGGTATTACTGGTCCGCAGTAATGGCCGATACTGGCCGTCTGGTATCTGATACAAGTGTCAGCGAAAAATGTTGAACCGTGACTATACAAGACGCCATCTTTGAACTTATAAGTGAGGACTGCAGTGAATCAGCTCTTTGTGCTGTGACCTTAAATCGCACGTTTTCTCTATGTACTTTGGTGTGAGAGAAGGGGACCGTTTACAAACCGCAGTCACCAGTTACTGGCGCTAGTTCTTATGGTGGAGAGTGACATCAGAAAGATACTGATCTCTTCCTCTTACCTCATTTGCATTAGCCTGGTCGGTGTACTGTATATAAGCCTCCTGGTGTTTGGTTGTGCAAATAATAAAGTGATAACTGTGACAAACTTGAGATGCGACGCGGTGCTTGTCAGAGCTGCTGTCTTCACTGGCTGTTTCCCCCTGTGTCTTTGCACTCATTATTGCAACAATACAAATCAGATGTAGACTATAATACAAATGCATTGCAGACAGACTCACGATGAGCTTTGAAAATCAGGAATCTCTGTGACACTTCTTGAAGAAGCTACAACTAAGATGAGAGAAACAATAAGTCCTAAATAAATATCAAATAGAACTGATTGGCTCTCAACTGGCTGAAGTACATAGTATTGGTTTATCTCTTTATTATCTCATTATTAGACAGGGTTTTCCAATAAACAACTTAAGTTTGTTAACGACAGTCACTACACTAAAGATTATCCCAGCACAGTTCAGTTCATGGTTCACAGAGACTTACTAAAAAGGTAAATATAAAGATTTGCACTGGCTACATCTGGCCACCCTTTTGAAACTTTTCTGGGGGCCGCCGTTTAAGTCACAAAAAATTAGTCATTTTTAATTCAACGTTTAAAGACCACATCTTTTATACTGCTGGAAATGCATTATGTAGAATAAAACGTTATCAGCAAGTCAGGCGTCTGTTGGTGAGTTATATTTACAGTGGAAGTCATAAAAAAATAATAGGGAATAAAGCGAGAATGAGAATGAACAGACGGTTCACGTGCTTGTAACGCTACGCTGCGCTGAGGTAATTGGCGGGGTTGCCATTGAGGATATCTGTATATAGTAGTTAGAGTGTACTAACAGTTTTTATATCAAGAGAAAACTTTTATTTAGTCTAAACAAGTACTTGGAAAAACGGTTTGACCAAATTAAACCGGAAAAAAAAATAGAAACCGGTGTTGAGAAGTTCTTTCATATTTCCATTTTAAACCCCGACTTTGCCAGGCGCGGTGGCCAAGTGGTAAGGCGTCGGTCTCGTAAACCGAAGATCGCGGGTTCGAACCCCGTCCGTGCCTCAATGGAATGTGGGTCTCAATTTATATATCCTTACAGTTTTAAATTATTAGGTGTTGCAAAAATGCTTGTATAGCCATTTACCCGTTTTGCTGAAAGACACTTTTTGAGTAAAAACCAATTCTTTTATAGGTCAGCGGAATCTTTTTTTTAATTAAACTTTGAATCAGTTCACCCAATTTTCTCATTTCTTTTCGCATTAGACCACAACAAGAAAATACATTAGGCTCGTCATTTACCTGGATTGCAGAGGACTGCCTGCCTTTTCTTCGCTCTCTTGGGCTTACAATTTGTGACTGATCACAGAAAATAACCCTCAATTTTGTTTTCTTTTCCAGCAAGGGAACATAAATTTGTCGTTATTTTGTCATTCAAGCATTAACATATAAAACAGACAAACATAACATAAAACTTAGAACATCAGAAAGAAATACGCAATTTAAGAATTATGAAATGCAATTTGTTATTAAATTCTTCTGTTAAACAAATCAGTCACATTGTAAAAAAAAAAAAAAAAATTGAGAACAAAAACAAACAAAAAACGTTCCAGGACCTTTTAGATTTGTTCATTCAGCTTTATTTGTTAAGTTTTTGCATTTGCTGTTAGTTTTCTGGAAAACTGTACTTTAGAGGTTAAAACAAGTGACATGAAAATATATATTTTTTAAAACTCATGTCAGTCTCAACCGGCTGCACATCAATTATAGTTATCCTGGATCGACAGTATGCGCAACTCTCGCGACAATAAGTTTTCCAACATGGCGGGGTCTTTGACGTATTTTTAAGTTTGTATTCGGGCTCCGTCACTCGCGCGAGAGTGTGATGTTACGGGTGGGCGGGCACTATCTCAGCAGTCAAGATGGCGCAGCAAAACAAGCTGGATGCAGGGGGAATGGTGTACTCTGAAATACTGAGGTAAAAAAGAAAGTGCAGTGTAAAAGCAAACGTGTTTTCCCGTGATTACAACCTCTTAAAAAGTATTTGTTTATTTGGTTATATTTCCCCACAGAGTGAGTGAGAAATTAAAAAGCACAGACGGTAAAGACTATATACATAAAAATTCAAAACGAATAAACGATACTTATGATTCCCACCCAAAGAATGAACTAGAATCAGTTTGTACAAACGTCGGTGACAGTCTTACAAGCAAGTCATATGCATAGGAGAAAATTTAATGTGAAATATATTGTTATAAATGTATTGATTATATTGTTGGAATAATAATAAGGGGAACATCAAAAGTCATGAGATATTGTTGAAAGTTTATGATGGAAAGTAGAAATTCCAATATAAAAAGACTAAAATAGCAAACAATTAAATAAAATGTAAACGTCATTAGATAAGAAGTCGCAGTAATGAAAAAAATTAGAGTAGTGAAATCAAATCAAACAAGTATCAACTAAGATATATGTTTAAAATAAAAAATAGTGATCATACTAAAAATGCGATGAATTACACGTAATGACAAAAGTCATAAAATATGTTTGCAAAAAAGTAATGTCATTTCTAACTCAGTTACAATATTTTAGTTTCCAAGTATTGTTCAAATTTAGCTTAAATATCTATATGTTTAAGATTGTTATAAAAACACACAGGCCTGATTTTCTCACATTTCACATGAAATCCATAATTAGCTAAATGTTTTCATCTGTTTGAATTCCAGTCCGTCGGAGTTGTTCGCGGCTCGGTCCAGGAGTCACAAGATCCCAATCAAGGGACAGAAGAATTTCTTTCCTGACGACTCAGATGAGCAGCAAAAGCAGCTGGAGCAAAGTCTGAATGAACACTGCAGTCTTTTATCAGAGGAAAGAGGGAAAGGCTGTAAGTAGACTCCACTTCCATTTATTGTTAGTTTAACTTTTTTGTTGCAAGATCTTTCATTACATGTCGGCCAAGGCTGTTGAGAAAGTATGCAAAATTGGTGCAGAATACAAACAAGATGGTTCTCCTAAAAAAAAACAACATCCAATGAATTTTACAGTTTTCAATAATTATCTACTAAAGGCCCACTAACTAATCTCTACTAATATCCCCTGTTCAGGATTATTTGTTAGTGTGCTATCTATCTATCTAGCTGTCTATCTATCTATCTAACTATCTATCTATCTAGCTGTCTATCTATCTATCTAGCTGTCTATCTATCTATCTGTCTATCTATCTATCTGTCTATCTATCTATCTGTCTATCCATCTATCTATCTATCTATCCACCCATCCATCCATCCATCATCCATCTATCTATCCATCCATCTATCTCTCTATCTCTCTTTCCATCTGTCCACCCATCTGTCCACCCACACACAGACAACTTGTCAGGTGAATTAAGGTGATCTTAAATGTCACCTAAAAATTAAATTAATCATTTTAATTTTGTTAATATACAATATAGGTTGTTTCGTTCAATAATTTTGTCTGATTGAATGTGTACTATTTCAAGGACACTATGATGAAGAGCTAAAAGACTTTTTAAAAATACTTCAGTAATGTGGCACAGAAGAAAATACAAATAACAAAAAGAAGAAACTTGGCTCTCGGCCCAGTTGTTATTGTAAACATTGGCATCGACCCAGAATTTCTCAATCGGTGCAGCCCTAGTTTAAAGTTTGTCAGTTATCAAACAGAAGATTTGGGTTGTGACAAGTGTGGTGTGTGTGGTTTTTTATTTTCATATCACTGCAGTGGAACGAGAAAAATTTGGGTTGTGACAAGTGTGGTGTGTTTTTTTATTTTCATATCACTGCAGTGGAACCCTGGTGAAGGCGACCTGGATCTCAAGTAAGCAGGTGGTGGAGCTCCAGTCTCTTTCTGTGAGTACAGTCATTGTTAAGATTAATATTCATTTGAAAACCTTCATATCATTTAGCATTCATGCGAAAACACATTTGTGGCACAACTACTTTAAAGACTAAAACTATAGGTATTTAGTTTTCCTAATTTGTCTAACTGCAGTTAAGCTGACCTGTTTAGGTCGCTAAATGTCTGAAAAGGATGTTGCGGTATCTGACTTTAAGGAACTGAAGCAGATCTTTTAAAATCCACTAGGTTGAGAGGTCGACAGAGCGCCTCGGATTTGATTTATTTGTCAAGCAATTTCCAAAGCAAAAGCATTTGGAGAATTTAGAGGAAGAGTCGGTACCTCAAACTTAGTAGTTTCCACAAGCTTCAAGTAATATTTTTTTGCTTTGTGGCAGACCACATTATGCTGCTGAGAGAACCGCCAGCTGGCATCAGGGAACGTCGTTTCAGTGATTTGTATACATAGTAGGACATTGACAGAAAACCCGATTCGTCAATGTAAGTTAAATGGAGTCGATAAGTCGAAAGTGTTTATTTCCCAGTGTGTGCCGATGCAATCTTTACCTCTGATTAGCAAAAGTCATAATCACTTTATAAAAGGGGTGATAACATGAGCAGCTACAGAACACGAACAGAGGTTCCTCATGCATTCCTTTCTGGAGGACTAAACTGTCACAAAGCCTAGTGTAAAAAAAGTGAGCATCTCACTGGGAGTTAGTAGAACAATTGATTGCTGTGCTCTTTTCCATTAGCAAAAGCTACAAAAGTAACGTATGGAGAGTTATATGCTTATCGCCAGATGGGTGTCTGTAGTTTGTCCTCGTCGAGTCGAGGTCAACAAAGGTCAGATACATTGATGTGAAAAAGTCGTCAGTGCCCTAGTAAAGCAGTCCCCAACCTTTTTTTGCGCCACGGACCGGTTAAATATTTGAAATCTTTTTCACGGACCGGCCTTTAAAAAAATGATACAACCTTGAAAAATTGGTATTTTCTAAATATAATAATAAATGTTAAGCCACCGTGTATGCAACTTTATTGGCAGCGTCCTTGTAACTTTGCGGAACACTTGGTCTCCGAGTGGCAAAGAAGTTTTGAAGGCTTCATCGCTTCATTAGAGCCACTCGCAGATAATTTGTTTTTTTCAAAATAAAACATTGTTCGGAATCAGATAATAAATAAAATATTTTTTCTGTGCGGCCCAATACCAATTAACCCACGGACCGGTGCAGGTCCGCATCCTGGGGGTTGGGCACCACTGCCCTAGTTCATATATCTCCACCACCTTGTTTAGGTCAGTCATTGTACATGCGAACTATTCCAGCTATTCTGCACCTGTTGTTGCGATAACTTTCTACTTGAAGCTTTTTTTTTTTTCAAACTTATATATTTTTTTCAAGTGACTTATTATTTGCCTAACTCTCAGTTTTCTTCAGTTTTATCTTCTGTTAAACAGCGTTCTGGTCTATGTCTATTGTAATGACGTGTTTCTCTCCGCAGGGCAAGTTTTGGCAAACAATGGGTTTTTCTGCTGAGGGGAAACGCTATCTGCTGCCTGAAGAGGCTCTGTACCTTATGGAGTGTGTAAGTTACAAATGGGAAATCGCCCATTTCTGCAAGTAAATGTGCGTACGTGTACATAAGCACTGTATATGTTTGTTCATTTCATCTCAATTTTTGGTCGATCCAGAACGTATCGACCAGTCAACTGGGAGATTACAGCGCTAAAAACCAGTACGTTTCCTCCTCAACACCAAACGTTTGACGTTTGTTTATGGTATATTTTTAATATGTGTTTGGACAGGGAAGTCTGCAGGTGTTTTACGAGGACCTGGCGCTCTCCATTCAGGACGCCTACGAGATATTTCTGTCTTCAGAAACAGTTAGCCTACATCAATATCAGGTAGACATTGTGCTTATGCAAGTGTTTGAAATATTACCTTTTTAATAGGTTTTTTCTTGTGACACTTCAAGTTAGAATTGACGTCGGTTTTTCCTCCAAAAATGAAAACCCGATAATGCAATGCCTGGGTTTCCCCAAACAATGTGTGTCCTAAAAATTGTTTCGGGGAAAACCAACTGTATATGAATGTGAAAGTCACTAGAGGGCAGCATTGCAGCTCATTTTATTAATCGATTTTAGTAATCAGGAATAGATAGAGATAGATAGAAAATAGAAGAGGAAATCACGGGATTGTATGCACAATTCTGGTGCCAGCGACTCGTACCTTGGTTTGTACAAATAAACAAATAAATATTACGCTAAATAGTATTTCAATTCGAGGGGGCGGTGAATAAACTACTGTCCCATAGGGGGGCATGAAAATAATTGAAAAGGGCGGCACTTACATTCCTTAACCACCAGGCTACGCTATATCAGTATCGGTTGGTATCGGAAATGAAGTGTTTGGACATTATCGTATATCGGCAAAATGTTAATTTCGGACATCCCTAGTCTAATGTGTATTATCTAATTATTTCAGAAATTTTGGAATTGTTCATCTATTTTGATATTTTTTTTTATTTTCTGTTTTTACCAATTCGGGTTTAACCTCTATGGCTAAATCTAAATCTTTCATTTGAATTCAATTCTAATGCCTAACTTAGCTAACCTTGGTGACATATTGTATAAAGTCTGTTCTCATCTCTTCTCTCTCAAAGGTGTTTGGGCATTTAAAAAGGCTTGGCTACGTGGTGCACAGGTTTGATCCCAGGTATTTAAAATTTGAATGTCACCATTAAATATGTTGAATTATAACAGACAACAGACTCATCAAATCCATCTAGTTTCATTTGTGGTGCCCAATAGGGAGATCACGATCTACCAATTTGCGCCAGATTGAAAGCGAGTGGTGGTAAATTATGAACAATTAAATAAAGAAAAATGAATAGTGCGGTAGAATATCAATATTCCACAGATTTTCCACCAGAATGTGTCCCTTTTCATGCCATCTCTGCTTCCACTGCCACACTGCTGGACTGCGGGCAGGAGGGAATCCCTGTCACAGTGATACCATCTGCTGAATTGTTTGTGCACTCTGTGTTTGGGAGGCTGTGATTATTTTTGGGTGATGACATTTTCTCTTCTTTGCAGTTCATTGCCATCTCGTTATGCCCAACAGTTGAATCTTCCCCAATCAGGTAAAAATGCTGGAAATCAACTGAAAAGGAAACATGATGTGAGCCTCACCTCTACATCAGCACCCAGGTAAGTTTTTGTTGTAAATGTAGGTTCAATGTGTTAATACTCTCATATATATGTATATGTGTATATATATGTATGTGTATATGTATATATGTATACATATGTATGTATATATGTATACATATGTATGTATATATGTATATATGTATGTATGTATATATGTATATATGTATGTATGTATATATGTATATATGTATGTATGTATATATGTATACATATGTATGTATATATGTATGTATGTATATATGTATACATATGTATGTATATATGTATACATATGTATGTATATATGTATGTATGTATATATGTATATATATATACATGTGTGTATATATATATATTATATATATATATATACACACATGTATATATATATATTATATATATATATATAATATACTCACATATACTTGTATATGTAATAGGGGCGTAGGGGTGCAGAAAGGTTTGTAACTCGGTATTGCCTTCCTGGTTTGATACATTTTCATTACGAAAAGTAATGTGGAATCACCAAAAATGTCATGTATATATGTGTGTTCGTGTGTTTAGATATAGTCAATTTCAATGTATATACAGTATATATACATTGAAATTGACTATATCTAAACACACGAACACACATATATACATGACATTTTTGGTGATTCCACATTACTTTTCGTAATGAAAATGTATCAAACCAGGAAGGCAATACCGAGTTACAAACCTTTCTGCACCCCTACGCCCCTATTACATATACAAGTATATATGAGTATATTATATATATATATATGTATATATATGTATGTGTATATGTATATATGTATGTATATATGTATGTATATATGTATACATATGTATGTATATATGTATACATATGTATGTATATATGTATGTATGTATATATGTATGTATGTATATATGTATGTATATATGTATGTATGTATATATGTATGTATATATGTATATATGTATATATATTTGTATATATATATGTATATATATGTATGTATATATGTATATATATTTGTATATATATATGTATGTGTATATGTATATATGTATGTATGTATATATGTATACATATGTATGTATATATGTATATATATATGTATGTATGTATATATGTATATATGTATGTATGTATATATGTATGTATATATGTATGTATATATGTATGTATATATGTATACATATGTATGTATATATGTATGTATATATGTATGTATGTATATATGTATGTATATATGTATGTATGTATATATGTATGTATGTATATATGTATGTATGTATATATGTATGTATATATGTATGTATATATGTATATATATGTATGTATATATGTATATATGTATACATATGTATGTATATATGTATGTATGTATATATGTATACATATGTATGTATATATGTATGTATATATGTATATATGTATACATATGTATGTATATATGTATGTATATATGTATATATATGTATGTGTATATGTATATATGTATACATATGTATGTATATATGTATATATATATGTATGTATATATGTATGTATGTATATATGTATGTATGTATATATGTATGTATGTATATATGTATGTATGTATATATGTATACATATGTATGTATATATGTATACATATGTATGTATATATGTATATATGTATGTATATATGTATGTATATATGTATACATATGTATGTATATATGTATACATATGTATGTATATATGTATATATATGTATATATGTATACATATGTATGTATATATGTATGTATGTATATATGTATGTATATATGTATACATATGTATGTATATATGTATGTATATATGTATGTATGTATATATGTATGTATATATGTATGTATGTATATATGTATACATATGTATGTATATATGTATATATGTATACATATGTATGTATATATGTATATATATTTGTATATATATATGTATATATATATATTATATATATATATATGTGTGTATATATATATATTATATATATATATATACACACATGTATATATATATATATATGTATATATATATATATAATATACTCACATATACTTGTATATGTAATAGGGGCGTAGGGGTGCAGAAAGGTTTGTAACTCGGTATTGCCTTCCTGGTTTGATACATTTTCATTACGAAAAGTAATGTGGAATCACCAAAAATGTCATGTATATATGTGTGTTCGTGTGTTTAGATATAGTCAATTTCAATGTATATACAGTATATATACATTGAAATTGACTATATACTGTATATGTGTGTGTGTATATACTGTATATGTATATATAGTAGAAGCTATGTATATATTAGTACTTGCAAGACTCCACTGACATGTACTATAATGAACATTTTTGTCAGCTAGTCATGGATGACGTTAAACGTACTTTTCATTAATTGATGAAAAATCATAGCAGGATGGAATGCTTTGTGCCGTACAAAAGAAATGAACGTAACGCTTGTAAAACAATTTGGGCCACAGTTACAGTCACAGTTTGTTTTTAGATCCTGATTTGCGTGTGTAAAAACCCCACAAGTGCATCGACGTGTCGACGCTATTTATTATATTATAATTCAAGTCTCCTCAGATCTTTTATGGGGGCTCGCTGAGGACTGACAATAACTGTGGCCAGTTCTTATTTACCATCTCTGAGTTCAAAATGGATTTGAGATCTAAATGAGATTTTTGTGGTATTTCTCACCGCAGTCTCTCTAAAACACTGGTTCCCACCACTGATACGATGTCAGCGGATGAACACATGAAGGACGAAAGCGTTGACGAGTCCGTTGCAATGACTTCTTCAGAGTCTACGGCAGATGAGAGCTCCACGACAGACTCAGCAGTAATGGTTGAACCCCGGAAGTGGTGGACATCAGACATTATCGAGGACAAAGGATCGAACCACAGAAACTGTAGCCGCTCAGGCTGGGATTTCAGCTCCATCTTGTTCCCGGACCTGGGTTCCAAGGAGAACCTGTCAGGTTCTCTGGCCTCTCCCGACCCTTCACTGCTGCCTGGGGCTTTGGCTGTGGGTGTCTGTGACGTCGCATCGTGGAGATCAAAAATAAACCAGCGGAAAGTTAAAGGGTCCCCCGAACATCGGCGTAGAGGAGTGGACAATCAGAGACAAGGCTGGCACGGGAAGAAAGACGAAGAGGTCTGTTGCGTCACGATTTCAATGAGACGTTATTTATGATTACTGAAATATTATCTGGAGAATAATTGTGTTGACGTTCTTCAAGGTGCAGTCGTGCAAAAATTGGACAGAGTTTAATGACCTCATGGCTCGACACCAGCACAGGAGACAGGATGAACAAGCCGAACATCTATGGAACAGAGAAGTCACTCCTTTACATGATCCAAGTCAACCACTGCCCACCAGTAAGACACCATGATAAAAATATCCTTCCGTTAAGGCGGAAATAATGGTTCTATACCTTTGTCCAGTAGTTAACATTGACCGACAAATAAAAAAAATAAACCTCGCAGGTTGACAAAAGCTGACTGCGGTTCAATAACAACTGAGAGAAGAACGTAAGCCTTAGGAAAATAACATTAGCCTAAAAATAAATAGTTTAAAACATCTTAAAGTTAGCCAGAAGGTCAGTATGTTAGATTTTTTTTTTAAAAATTAAAAAAAAACACAAGTCAAAGCAGAATTACAATAATAGTTGTGAGCTTTTAAATAATGGAACACAAATGTCAAATACAGGCTTTTACTTAATTCATCTTCTCTCCTCAAGGGCTTACTGCAGTAGATCATCTGGTGTACTTCCTGCTCATTACCGCATACCAGTGTTTCTCAGTTAATTTGAGAAACAGCGCAACACCTAGTGCCTAGTAATATTTATTTATTTATTTATCTGTACACACCACTGTACGAGATGCTGGCCCCAACATTCTGCCTAATATCCATATCGAAATAAGATTCATAAAATGAGCTGCTCTGCTGCCATCTAGTGACTGAAGTTTATCATTCAAGCATGAGTAAAGACAGTATGCTGAAAGTCCCCCCCTCTAGGGCTCACTATTTGAGAAGCCAACCATCTCAATGTCTTCCTTCACTTTCTCCAGCGGAGCGTCTTGCTCTTTCCTTTTTGCCAGCAGCTATATCCCAACATTTTTGGTTCAATAACCGCCTTCTCTCCTTTGCACATGTCCATTTGTCATGTCAGACATTACATCTCCTATAGTCCTGTAAGCCAATGCCCTTTTCTCCATTCATTTGGCATCCTCTCACTCTCAACCACTGTTTGAACATCCTAGTCTAACACACTGTCTCCAAGACATCGTCACGCCTTTACCATTACGTCATCTCCACCAACTGCCTCTTCATCTTTTTTTTACAGCTACCCTCTCTTCCTCCCTGCTACTTTTTTTTTTTGCCTTTCTTGATTGTCTGTGTGTCCTTCATCTGCCCTTCTTTGTCTTTTGTTTTCCTCTTTAATTAGCTCCAGGCTCTAAAATACTCTGGTGGCTCACTGGCAAATGACCTTCTCCATCTTTTTTTTTTCTATCAATCTATTCTTGTGTACGTCATCTGTCTGTTAGTCCATTGATCCCTCTCTTCTTCCTGACTTTCCAACCTCTCAAATGATGTGCCTTCTGATTGCCTTTTTTTTTTTTTTTTTTTTTTCCTTTCTTTTTGCGTTCCTTTTGCGCATAACTCCCGACTAATTGCCTTTCTCCTTACGCCCTGCAGAAAACTCAAACCCTAACCCAGTACTTTCCAAACAGTGGGGCGGGGGACCCTTGGGGGGCATGGTGAGGTGCCAGGGGAGCGTGAGGGGCTTCTAATAGAATATGGCACTCGTGGACACAAGTGTACCTACTGCTGTGATGCTTGAATGATAACAAGCTCTCCAGTCACTAGGTGGCAGCAACTCATAAAAATGTACATGTTATCAGGTCCTCAATAGTATTTTAATTTACAGGGGTATGGGTTGGAGGTCGGAGAGCGGGGGCGTGACCTGAAAACATATCTGTCCCCAAGGGGGGGCAAGACAGAAAATAATTGAGAACCACTGGGTTAGGGACAAGGTGCTGCAGCCCACACTTGCTCATGCTCCCAAAGCACCAAGTGCATGTGGAGAATTTAATTACAGAGTATGGACTCCCTCCCAATGGCATTCCTACAGAATGTGCCCCAGTGCAGCAGGGTTAAATAGCGGATACAAACATAAAACAGAAGCAAACACGGGCCAAGGTAGACAAGGTAAGCACAGAAATGGGTCGTAAAAAAAACCCAAAAAAAAACGGTGAAATGAAAAGCAGCTTAAATAGGGACTAGTGATGTGCGGATCGATCCTGAAATATCGATACTTCCGATTCCGGATCTTTATGCTCTGAAATCGATTCTGAAATCAAAATATTGATACTTTTGATACTTACACATTCTGAGCTGAGGTGTATCCTAACCAGAAACATGGTGAAAAGTATCCAAATTATTGAGATGTTGTCTAAGTGACGCTCGGTTGGTGGGACTACTTCTTCTTCCGCCTGGGTGTGTGCGTCATGCGTAAGCACAGGGGCTCTACT